AGCTCGCATGTTAAAATTTTGCTTCTTAGAGATATCATATGTGTCCACACCTATACTCCATAGATTTTTTAGTTCTGCAATTAATGGTTGCAAGAAAACATCAAGTTTTTGCTTAGGGTTCTTCGGCCCAGGAACTATAACTGACAAAAACAAATAGGACTCTTTCATACACATCCAAGGCGGCAAGTTGTATAGTGTCACAACTATTGGCCAAGATGAATATTGTTGACCTGTTTGTCCAAATGGTTGAAAACCATCTGTGCATAGCCCCAATCTGACATTATGACTTTTAGCTGCAAAAGATGGATGCATCTTATCAAAGTGTTTCCATGCGGGTGCATCTGAACAATGACACATCACACCTTCCTCAACTTCATGCTCGGCATGCCATCGCATATATGCAGCAGTCATGTCGGAAGCATATAAGTGTTGCAACCGTGGAGTGAGGGGAAAGTAGTACATCTGTTTGAATGGTACAAGATTTCTCTTTGAATTAGATATTTGCCTGGTTGGCTTGTACCTGGGATGACGACAAAACTTGCAATGGCTAAGTTCACTGTCTTCTCCCCAATAAATCATACAGGCATTGATACAACTGTGAATTTTTTCTACTGGCATGTTCATTCCCTGCATTAACTTCTTAGTTTCATAGAAATTTTTTGGCATTAGGTTATCAGGAGGAATCATCTCATTCACATATTGACAAATATCATCAAAACATCTATCAGATAGATGGTGTTCAGACTTGATATGCAATAAATGTGCAACAGCTGACAATTGAGAATGTGTTTCACAGCCAGGCCATACCTCTTGATTTGCAGAATCAATCATATCATAAAATTTCTGCGCATCAGGATTCGGTAATTCATCCATATCATCCAGATCGAATGAGGGGCCAGCGGCGTCAAGGACCATTCTATAGTATGAAGTAGGTGATCCAGGCTCATCTATTGCGCCCACATTTACTGATGCAGTATTCATAGTCTGATCACAATTTTGCATCTCTTCATATTGAACTATATTTCTAGTAACCTTATTTTCACCATGCAAGTACCATATATGATATCCAGGTATAAAGCCGTCGCGCAATAAATGTTCGTGGACAGTAAGAACATCTTCAAAATTTCTATTCTGACACTTTTTTCGGTTACATGGGCACCTTAGTCTCTCACCATCCCTGCCTTCCCGATGATTCTTTGCAAACTCAATAAATTGCTCAACACCCCTTACGAATTCTGGATTATACAAACTTCTCGTTAACCTTTTGTACATCCACTTACGATTTGAAGTCATTTTTCTGAAAAACTTTCTTTCCTGATAATGTAAAAAGATTACAGTAGCATTTATTGATTTCTAAAAATCTTTAGATAGTAAAAACAGAGTACTAATAATCAAATTAGGCCTCAAATCCCAATCATAATGAGCACAAGCTTTCAACGTATCTACAATATACTGGAAAAATTAGATTGATAAAAAATACTTACCACTTAGCCGAATGGATTGTGGAATTGAGAAGCATCCAAACGATAGCTTGTGAGAGACTGGTTTGAGATAATCTTTCAGTTGGGAAAAATAATGGAAAGGATTTAGCATATTGTGATCGTGGGCAGAAGAAGCTGAAAAGGCGCGGGAGTTCTGTGTAATTTAGGAGAGTGGGTAGAGTTTTGGCGGTATACAATGTAATTTAGGAGTGTGGCTGAAATGGCGTGGGCAGAAGGGACTTCTTTATTTTTCTTCTTTTTATTTAACTAGACCTCATCCTGTTGTGCTTTGAGGTTATGACAATGTTGCAATTCACTCAAGTAAGTATAACTAAAATATAGACATTACTTCTGACATTTTATTTGTCTTATAAAATTGCACACAGCTTAATAAAGATAGACATATAACAACGTACGTCTTAATTATAAGAATTTTAGCATTAATTATCCTTTATATATATATATATATATATATATATATATATATATATATATATATATATATATT